AGGGAAAGGGGTTCATGCATATTTTTCCTCTGGCAACACAGCACTTGAGTGAACCATGCTGCCATGGGGGGAAAGACTGCAGATCAGGGAAACTAGAAATAGCTGGCTTTCTACCAGGCTATCCTGAGATGTAAAGGTTTCCCTATAGGATCCTGGGGTGTCAGCATAGTTGGATCACTATGTTCCCTGTTTGCCTTCAGCAGCCCCAAGCCTCCCCTTCCCCGCCCCCCCAGGGGATTAGGCATCAAAACTTCTGTGCAGTGGGCCATTAAGAATTTTTGAGTTAATTTTCTTCTCTGGCTGTTTTTTTCTGTAATAGGGGATGATACAGCCATAATTATTTGAAACACAATAACCTATCATTTATATGATTAAAAACGGCCTCATTATGTGTCTAGCTCACAGGCTGTTAATACTTCAAAAGAGCTGATGTAGTTTCAGTTAGATAAACAATATTTCTTGTTCCTTTCTCTTTACTTAGTCATGTACTTACCTGAGAGAGAGTAACAATGTCTGAAAAATAACCAGCACCATTTCTGATTTTTTCCTCCTGAGCCAAATAAAAATAGTAGTCATGATACTAGTCTATTTTAGGTCTTAAATAAAGTTTCTGTCCAAGAGCCTTATAGTATGTTTTAAAGAGATTAAGTATTAGCTCCATTTCACAGGTGGAGAAACTGAGGCACAAAAAAGTGAGAACTTACATTTTCACCTAAGTGAAGTGCTTAGAACAAGCCTGTTCAGCAAATATGCTCCTGAGTGACTTGTCCAGGGTCACAAAGCTGAACTTCATTAAAATAATTATCATATTGTTTGTGGCAGAGCCACGTGAACTCTTATAAGAGCAATGGCCCTTAAACATGAAAAGAAAATATTTAAATAATTTTTTAAAAACATGTATCCAGAGCTGTAGCCACTTGCATGTATACTTCTTTGGGCAGAGGGATGGTGTATGGCAGTGGTTTTCAACATTTTCAGAGTCAGCGCACCCCTCCACAACTTTTTCAAAGGTGGCATTACCCCTGTTTGAGAACCACTGTTGTATTCAACTTGCCTCAGTGCTTCTGAGCTGGGTGATGCTTTTCTATGCATCTGATTCATAGCTAGACTTGGAAGCACTGTGGTCATGCACTTACTCCTCTTGAATTAGGGGTCTCTGATAACCCTGAGGCAGGAGAGGAGTGCAAGCTCTTGCTCCAGCCCTTCCCAGTTCAACACTGTACATTGGCAACGCATCGGGGGTGCACGTGGGTGCACATACACCCCCTGAGAAACGCCAGCCTGATTGGCCGTGCACCCCCTGGAAACGCCAGCCATGAAACCAAAAGTGCCGGCAGAAGTGCACTTCTGTTTTCTCCACTGATGATTTTGGGCCTGGTGATCGGCCACTGGGGGATACTCGCCCCACCCCCTGGTCAGCAATCAGTCACTGGGCCCCGCATCCGGTCGGTGGTGTGGTGCCCCCACCAGACTTGGGAGGCACCAGTCCCCCAGGACCCTGTATAGTGTCTTCTGGAAACAGAGGCATGTGGGGCAAGTGAAACTCCCATCTACCTTTTTCTAAGAGGAGTATTGAGGGATGCAGACTGGAAAGGACTGGAGCATGAGTGAGCTTTCCTGCCTGTTTTAGGCTGATCAGAGAACTCTAGTGTAAGACATGCATTTGTGCCATAGGTATGCACATGACGTTGTGGCAGCAGTGGTGGCATCCACATCACAGCACTCCGAGGGAGTCTTGTGGCACCCCAGCTGAGAACTACTGGTTTATGGTTAAAGTACTTGACCACAATGACCTAGAACATTTGGGTTCATCTGCTTTAGACTTCCTTTGTGACTTTGGCAATCCCATGTAATGGCTTGCTGCTTCAGTTTCCCAGTTGTAAAAAGGGAATAATACCACTGTAATTTTATAGTGCTGGGGTTCAGAGAAAAGTGCTGGTGCTCAGTACATAGAGAAAAATTAAAGGGAAAATAATCATAATGAAATATTTAACCAATCTCTTCAAAGCTGACTTCTTCAAAAATAGGAATTGCTCCTCTAGTTCAGATTTCATCATGAGAAACATAACAAACCAATCCTAACAATAGCAGCAAACACTGTCACAGAAGCACTTGGAGGGAAGAATGAGCTTCACAGCATGGCCTGACGGTCACTAATCTGGGCTCCCTCAGAGCAAGAAGTGTGGGTGGATAATAAACATCTGAGAGGAAAAGGGTTTTTATCAGTTAGGAGTGGGGCGTTGAGACAGATAGAAAGTAGGAGAGTGGCACATCCTACAAGCCTTATGTCAGGACAAGCCTGCAGAAGATCTTTAATATAACCCACTGTGAAGATCTTTACAGACTGAATGGGACAAGTTAAATTAATCCTCTACTTAATAGGAAAACAATATAAAGAAGAAAGAGTAGCTGTAATATGATTGTTATTGTTTAGGCCCTCAAGCTGTATTTGAACAACTTTCAAGCAATGGGGATGTGCTGGTAGAAGCCTTGGTAGAAAAAAAATGTTAATTATTGAAACACCTGGGCATTGGGTGGTGTATGGCATTTATGCAAGAGTGTGATTATAAAAGTAAAAGTGGAGTGTCCAGAAACTGCACAGCTAGAAAAAAAGATACTGGTAATTTATTTTTAGTGTTGCACCACAGGGTCTAGAGACAAGCATTCAAAAAGCATGAGCCTAAATTGATTCAATCTTTGCAAGTTAGTCTAACCTACAGAGCTTGAGCCAATTTGCAAGTGGATAGACATTTACTTTTGAATCAAGAAATGCAGGCACATGTCTGCAGTAGCTCAGACTAGAAGTTGGGGGGGGGCACTAAAGCAAGCCCTCCCTTCCCTTCTTCAGTGCTGAGCTGAGGGGGGGCAGGCATGGCTAGGTCCGGCAGGATCCTACTATTAGGGAGTGTTTTAAACCCCCACCTTGGTTTGCACAGGCTCCACCTGGAGTGTGCCTGGTGGGAGAGGGGAAAGCAGCCCTTGCCAGGCTTTTCCTAGCTTGCTGCTCAAGGTGCGGGAGTGTTGCCAGACCCCAGTCCCCGGCCCCTGGCTAGCACTCTGAGGCAAGGGAGGTAGGGCAGGAAGGTTGTTTGTATGTAATGCATCTGTTGATGATAGTGAACTTTTCAATCTCCCTCTCCTGCTTCATCATACTGTCTGCAGCAAACTGACAGGCAAGGGATCCAGCAGGGAGCTGATAACACAAAGTTTATCAGCCCATCAAGAAAAGAAAATCCTCTCTCATTAGTTCAAGCTCTTCTTAAACAAGTTTTTTTCAAGGAAGGAATGGAGGGACATTACCAGCTGACCTGTTGATTAGCACCAAAAAGTCCTAAGCGGACACTGTTCTGTCTGCCTTTGTCCTAGTGAAATTGGAGACAGTCACATACAGACATCTCTCAGCATTAGCTAGCATAGGGTTGACGTGGCCATGACCAGATGCTGGCTAGGGTCTGTGCAGATGGGGTGTGTGCTGTTGTAGGGGGGGAATTCCTGCTTGAGCAGTGAGCTATGAGTGGGTGTGGAATAGGGGGAAACCAGGAGATGCTGCTGTACCTGCAGTCTCCCAGCCCCTTCTCAGCCAGCTGGTGCAGTGATAGTGCTCTGGCTAGGAAAGAGAGGGGTGGGGCCAGCCCTGCTCTCTGAAGCAGGCAGCCCAGCCCAGGGAAAAGCATGATGGGATGGTGGGGGACTCTGATTTAACCTAAACCAGGAAGGGGTCTGGGACAGAAGTTCCATAAACTGGTTTGACCCATATCAGTTAAATCTGATACTGCATTCAACTAGGTTTATCTTAAATCAGTTTCAGCCATTTTGAAACTGGTTTATGTGCACTGAACTTATGCTCTGTTACAGGTTTAAACCAGTTTCTGATCACTTAAACCGGTTTATGTGTAACTTCTGTCCCTAGCCAGGGAGGCACAGTCTAAACTTACAGACCAAAGAGGAAGGTGGTGGTGGTGGGGGGGTTAAGCCCAAAATGGCTTTATGTCACCATTTGTGCCCTCCTGATTATTGATTAGTTCAGGGGCCAAAAGTGACTACAATGTAGGTGACTCAGAAATGCTAGCTAAGTTATGACAGTCTCAGCCAAACTGCTCATAGGTAGCAGCATCATACAGAAGTGCACTATTCCTGCTCGAAGCACCACCCAAACAAACCCCCTACCCTACAGCTTTCAGAAAAGGCTTTGTAGTTTCTATGTCAGGGGAATAACCCCACCAGCCAGATGCTGACTTAGTGGTACTTTTATGCTGCTGCAGCTATAGCCTGAAGGAAAAATCCTTCCCACCCTTTGTTATTGCATTCAACAAGTGAAAATGATACCATCATTTTAATTAGGCTAATTAATTCTGAACAAGTTTCCTCAATGAACGAGGAGAGAAAAGAAAAGAGAACCTTCTCATAACAATGACCTCTACTCACTAATAAGAAATAAGAAAATCTTAAAATGCCTGGATCATTAAAGGAAGAAACCAAAGAGGAGGGAAGAAAGAAAGAGTGCTCTGGTGCCCAAACCACCTCTATACTTTCTTTCACTCATAGAAAGTTTAGGGATTTGAAAAGCTTATACCTTGCAATTTAGCATAATGATAATCCATTCCTAACCTTTGTTTTTTATGAAAAAGAATTGTTACAGCCTTCAACAACATTACTTAGTATTTAAAGGAATCTCCTCTGAAAATCAGGTGTTTAAGGCTTTTGAATGCAGTCAATCTTTCTGACACTGCTGCTAATAAATTACAGGCAATACACACCTACACGTTTCAGCAGCAGATTGCAGAAGCTTCTTCTATGTCTATTTTTATTTTCTTTATTTCAAGGTCTGCTGTTTTTTGTCATAGCTATGAATCCCTAAATAAAAGTAACAGAGCAGAAAGGATTTTAGAAACATTAGACAAGTTAGGAGCAGACAGCTAAAACATATCCTGATGGTGATTCAATTAACAAAGCTTAGTTTCTACTAGATATTTAAGTGCACAGTTTAATACATTATCCCCCAAAATTTACTGAATCAAGTAGTAGGGGCCCTCAAGCATCTTCCAAGAAGTGAGGATGAGTTCTAGCTCCTTCATGGGAACTCTGGGTAATTTCAAAAAACAATTCCAGTCCACAGCCTGTTCCCTGAGTTTGCCAAGTCTCCTACTCACACACAGCTATGCAGGAAACTTGCCACAAGCCTTAAGCTGAATTAACTTGCAGGCTCAGCATAGCCACCAATGAGGAAATTCATGCACCTGAGAAATCAAGAGCAGTAGAGTTCAAGGAGCAGTTTCCTCATTTACATGCACCCTCCCTTCCCCTCCCCAGCAGCTGTCAGCCATGAAGCAAGCATTTTGAGAAAAGAGTTTTTCCTATGAATGTGTAGATTCATTGCAGAGCCTGCACTTGTGGATAAGGCCATAAAGTATCTTGTTCTGGGCTGGGGCTGTCTCTTTGGACTGTGATTGCACTTTTGTAACCATTTTGAATAATGAATATGTATTACTTCAAAGTTATTTTCAAAACAAGAAGGGTTTGGACATTTATACCTATATCAAGAATATTCAGAGTTATCTTAGTTTCATAGAGGGGATATTAGACCTCACACTTCAGGGGTACACCAGTCTCTTAAAATTAGAGAGCAGATGAAGCTTCAACTGCAGGTATGAGGGGAGGATTATGCTACATCTGCCTATTAAAGAGTTCTTTAAACTTCCTCTGAATCATCTTGGTGTTGGCCACTATCAAAAGACAGGAGACAGAGCTAGATAGACCTCAACTCTGATCCAGCATGGCAGTTCCTTTCTTCAATATACATTATTTAAGCCAGACAGCAGGAGTAGTCACACACTGATGCATAAATGATAGACATGAATAATTTTACAAGTAGATTATTATAGAAGTTGATAAGAGTGTGTCTGTACTTCTTCCCCTGTGTGCTGTAGGATGCCACTAAGTGCATCTACACATTAAATTAATTTGACTAAATAAACTCCAGTGCAGCTTCCACTGGAATGTATTGCTCCTGGGCACTGTGTTTACATGTCTGCCTGGGACTGCAGTACATTGATTCGGGATGCCACAGCCCCAGCTGGTAGGGGGCCCCCCGGGGTCAGCTTGCCACCCCAGAGCTTATAAGACCTGGCTCAGTGTGCCGTGGAGGGGTTGGCTGGGACATAAAGGCGCTTCAGTGAGGGGCTAGCCAGCAGACAACCCCCATACTGAAGCACAATTGTGCCCCAGCCATCCCTGTCAGTGTCTATATATGCATTGCAGTGGAGTACATAACTCTGCCATAGGATAGTACTTGTATCTGGCAGTACTAACCTATGGTGGAGTTAGTTTGCTCTGGCTCAATAGCTCTACACATGTAGACGGAGATGTTTTACTGTGGAACTAATTAGTCTCTTCCTCAGGAAACATCTTGTGTAGATGCACCCACTGTGAAGCAACCCTTCTCACTTCTGCTTTACACACAGCAAATCTCGGAAATGAGGTATCACACAGCAGCACTGAGCCAATGCCAATATAGATGCTCAAGACAGCTCAAGTGGCGGCAGACATGCACTTAGTAGTGCTCTAAATTAGTTACTTTACCTCATTTTCAGGAGTTAGCATGTGTGGAGCAGGAGCAGATAGATGGGTCTAGTTCATGCAGCATTCCCATGAGTGGCACACAGGCAACTCAAGTGAGTGTATAAAACTCCTTGTGCACCGATCAGGTTCACTTTGATGAATCATTACAAATCCAACCTGAAGGTTGCTACATTTTTATGGAGTTCTACTGAAGTCAGAAGAATTCCGACAAAGGCAGAGAGGTCTGCACTAGCATATCCTGTTTCATGTGTGGCTCTTTAAAGTCAACACTCCAAGTCTCTTGATATGTAATATACAACACACACACACACACACACACACACACACCCTATACATACATACTATAAAATGAATAGAAATCCACACCTGTAGCCTGGCTCTGATCCTATAACCGGATAAGTGGAGGTGAAGACTTGCATTTACCACAAAGTCCTGTTCAGAATGCGGTACTGGAGGCCTTGCTCATTTACAATGTTCTATGAAAGTTCACTGGTTCAAAGGGATGATGGACATAAAACTTCAAACTACAGAACTTGTACTTTTGTTAATAGTCAAGAATTGATGAAGCTGTATGTAATGCCAGACTAAGATTTTCTTTTCATAAATCCCTTCTCCAAGTGGAGTAAAATCCCAGCAGGGCAGTTTATATTGATATACTTGCTGTAAAACAAGCTTAATTGTAACCATATAAATAGGGCCCCTTATATTAATTATGTCAAGAAAAACAAATTTGGATGGTGACAGCTTTAGAATACAGAAAGAGCCAGAGGAAAAAAACAGGAGCTCTTCTGATGACTATATTCTGAGATTTTGGGAGACATTGTATGAAAGATACTAGATACATTTGTAGTACTGTTTTATAAAATAATAAAATGCTTAGCAAAATTCAAAGACCAACTTTTTAATCCAGTATCTCTTACCTATGCATTTCACTTCAATTTTCTTTTATTTTACCTCAAATTCTGACCAGACAGTTCAATTAGAAGTTGAACAAAAAGAATTCAAGATTCAGTCCTTTGTTTGGCATTGCCTTGTTGTTTGGGTATGTGTAAACAACAACTCTTCACAACTAGATGAAGTGCTCCAGCATCTTCTGTTCTGTAAGGAAGAGCTCTGCCAAAAAAACTGGTAAGGATACTCTAACAAATCTGACATAATTCTTATAGAAACAACCTTTGTGTTTAAATGTTAACTGCCCCTAAATTGCCCATGAAGAAGATTTATAATCTCAGTGCCCAAAGCAGAAGCAATTTATGCACTTTCTATGTCTTCATTTTATCAATAAATTGTTCCTACCGTTTTTGCTAGAAGCACATACATATATTGTTCCAGTTTGTGTTTATTAAATTAAGTTTGTTATTGATAGGAATTTCAGTCCAGCATTTTAAGATGCCAAGTAGTTAAACAGCAGAAATGAAGTATACCATCCTTCAGGGAAATGTACCAAGCTTTGATTTTTGCATTCCATACTTCTCAAGTGTAACACAAGCTAATCTCAAATAATTAATATTAACTTTGAACTGGAATGTTTTCTTGAATGTTTCTGTAATTTAATCAAGTAGATAAAGTCAAGCTTTATATCTGGGTTGCATTGAGCAAAGTTACAATTTGAAATGACCAACTTTAAGCAATTAATGCCTCCGTCACTCCTGCGACCCGCCTCTCCCCGCAAGTGATAGTAGGTACATGCTCATTCATAAGAAAAAATCTAGAGAAAAACAAAAGAAACTACTGCATGAAAATCAGAGGCATGGGATATTTATTCCCAGGTTTTCATTTGGGCTGTGCAAGCTCTAGTAAAATGCATTATTGAAAATAAGAACAATCTGTTACTTTTCATGTTTGTGGGCAATATGCCTTGTAGTTGTGTGGCAGGGTTAATTGTGTAGTTTTAAAAGTAGATTAGACAAACATTTGTATGGGATAGTGATGATCCTGCCTTGATCCTCCTGAGGTTCCTTCCAGCCCTACTTTCCTATGATTCTATATCTAATTAGTCTTGTTCCTGAGCTTTACTATACAAGGGGCTAAAGAAAAGAAGGTTTACATGAATAGAACCATGCAGAGGAATGCCAGCTCATGCTATAACCCAGTTCACAAACAAAAGGTATAAACTCTGCTTCCTTAGAGTGAATTATTAGTGCATTATATAAATTGATCTAGGCAGCAAATATATTGGTTTGCAGATGTAGGGGCTTGGCTTGGCATCTCTACATAATAGTAGAATTCCAGGTATAATGTAATTATGATGCTGAGCAAATGGTCAAGTAATTTAACTTTTAGTCAATATGATGCATAAAGCCCTCACAGCTATCTGTTTTCAGAAGTAATGGAGCAGTGGGCATGTCTACACATGCACACTTACTGTGCAGAAACCAAAATTACTGCGCAGTATGGGCGCGTGTCTACACGTGCATGCCCGTACTGCACAGTAAATATGGTGACTTATGCTGACTTGAGCATAAATTTGATACCTGTACCATGCAGGTATCAGATTTATGCTTGATTACTTACTGCACAGTAACGCATGTGTAGACACCTTACAGTAACACTGTGTGTATGGAGAGACTTGGGACTAACTTTAGTTCCAAGTCAGTCCACACACAGCGTTAATGCTCCTTAATGCCTGCACATGTAGATGCTGGTCTATACCCACTTGCTGCACAGTAGCTTACTGTGCAGTAAATTTAAGCAGATGTAAATGCACATGTAGACATACCCAGTAAGAACTGAAGACAACTGCTAGCAAGAAAAGCAGAAGTCAGACACTGTCCCACACCATGGGCATGTTTACAAATGAAATTAATGTGATATATATTGTGCTGAAGTTTATTGCTCCCAGGCACTGCATTTATACATACGCCCAGGACCTCAGCATGTTAGATTGAGTTGGAGTAGCCCTGGCAGGCAGGGAGCCTGGGAGGTTAGTCTGACAGCCTGGAGCTGCTCCAACCCAGCTCAACATGCTGTGGAGGATCTGTCTGGGGCATAAGGGTACTCCAGTGTGGAGCTAGTCAGCAGGCAGCCCCTGCACTAAAGCACCCTCTTACCCAAGCCAGCCCTGTAAGTGTCTACATGTGCATTGCTAGGTACTAAATAATGCCACTGTAGGATAGTACTTGTGTTTGCAAGTGCTAACCTATGGCAGAGTTGATTAGTTTCCTGTGGCCTAGTAGGGCTGCATGTGTAGATGCTGATACTTTACTGCAGAGCTAATTAGGCAGCTCCACAGTAAAGGTCTTGTTTAGATGCACTCAGTAAATGGTAGCCACTTCTTGTAAACCTCCTTCTGCTTCTGCAGTATCATGTTTCAGAGCCTTGTAGATATGTCCCTGACTCCTTTAGGGGGACCTCTGAAGCCCGCAGGGTTAGTACTCCTTTTCTACAGTGCAACCCCATGATATGTACTGGCAATATATTTTTTTCAATTTGAATACATTTTTAGTATTTTAACAAAATCAAAGATTATTTTTGATTCAGTAATCTGTTAACATCTCCCTAAAATTCCAAATGGTCACAAGATTCAAAGTAACTTTGCTGTTTAGATTAAGTAACCTGACTGCATAACCTCTGTCTACTATGGTATACCCCCTTGACAAAGTGGTATAAATAACTCGGGCAAAACCCAGAAAAGGGAGGGACAAACCAACCTAAATCCTCTTTCTGTTGCTCTATCAGGAGTAAATTCCAACCAAGTTAAGTTTGGAAACAGCTCTGTTGTGCTCTAACCTGCACCAGCCAATGTCCTGAAGGTAGCAGTGGGAAACTGTTTTAAATATCTTGAACAATATCCATTCCAGCTGCACAAAATCTTCAGTGGTTAGAGCATCTGTTCTCTCTGTGGAACTTCTTTAGTTCTTTTTATTGCTAGACCTGGCTGCTATGGTGCAATGTAATAGATTAACTCACTCTAATACATACCAATGAAGTATGTGAAAATCACGTAAAAAAGTGCAAAAGGTAGGCCAGAGGCATTAGAGCAGTGGTTCTCAATGGGTGAAGAGCACCACAGCGCCCTGGGGTGCTTTGAGATGCTGTCAAGTGTGCCACAGGATACCACATAATGTTAACACTATAAGGTTTGAAAACATGATTCACAGGATAAATGCAGAGATTTCAAAGAGAAAACCATAGCTGGGGTCTTTCTGAGTTCTCTGTAATAGAAAAACTCTATTACTATATTTATTTGAATATAAGATAACCACAATAATTTGATTCTATATATGGAAAATTTCTATATTTGTTACAGTTTTCCAGGTATAGAATCTAATTATTAGAGATTTTACTTGAATTTATCTCCCTTCCCACTGCTACAGCAGGGAAAATAAATCTAGGGGGATCAGGTGGGTCCCTTGCCTCCTCAACTTCTTTCCCTTGCAGCCCCTCTCCCCCTTACTCTCAGACCCTGCTTTACCTAAACATATAGAAGTGAGAAGCAAATTTGAAAACACTAACTTTGAAATAAACATATCTTTAGTAATTTGCATACATGCAAGTTACTATGGATACCCACAGACTTAGTTCATCAAGAATTGATCCAGTTTAATTTTTTTGAAGCTGCTGCAACTTTTAGCACAGGTACTTCATAAACACACTTTTAAGCAGTATTTCTGTATACTGCTTAATATAGAGAACAAACTTTAAATTTTTTTTTCTGTGTCCCAAGCCAAAGCAGCCAAATCAATTCCAAATCAAGTTACTATGGATACCCACAGACTTAGTTCATCAAGAATTGATCCAGTTTAATTTTTTTGAAGCTGCTGCAACTTTTAGCACAGGTACTTCATAAACACACTTTTAAGCAGTATTTCTGTATACTGCTTAATATAGAGAACAAACTTTAAATTTTTTTTTCTGTGTCCCAAGCCAAAGCAGCCAAATCAATTCCAAATCTGAGAGTCAGTTCAGAACCATAAGTGGCCCTACTACCAGCTGTCTCAGATGGCCGGAGCCGACTTGAGGTGATCTACAAATTGCTCGGCCGCTGGGCGGGCTGGTGAATGGAGAGGCAGACAAAACGTATTGGTTGCAAAAAGGCTTTACTTACGCTGCTAGTAGCCGCGACGCAGGTGGTCCGATCGCTTAAATAATTACACGAGTTCTTCAGCTGGCAAAAAACCCGCGCCAGCGAATCCGTAAATGAACCAGGCATGCAGGAAAAGGGGTTACGTCGAGGGATAGTGTTCGGCGATGGGGAGAAAAATCGATAGTTGATCAGGCTATCGATTCACTCTGCCACGAGTCAGGAATTCTCTTAAGTCACTCTGCAACGTGCTCAAAGTTCTCCGACTTGGGCGGAAGTCGCACAGAATTTTATACGGCTAACCAGCCAATCGCTAGCCGCCACGTAGGAATAATTTAGAATCGGCCAATGATGGGACACAAATTTGCATACGAATGGCGGGAACTCTCTTGCACCGGAGTTTTCTATTGCAACAGAAAACTTTTGCTGTGCACAGAGACTCTCATGTGGCGGGAAAAATTCCATCGTGCCGAGGCACTTAAAATCATTGGGTTATGACATGCCCAAAAAAAAAAAAAAAAAATTATATATATAGACAAATAACTTTATAGACCGGTCTCTAACAAACTATAAAATATGACAACTTGAACTTATAACAATAATTATTAATCATCAGTTGACTGGGAAACATCTACTTGAGACTCTTCCTCTATGTCAGTCGATGAAGTGTGGTCCTCAATGACATAGTTGCCACGGAACGTTTGTCTTCTTCCATAACAGATAACTCCAACTAAATGTTTACAAATATTAGAAAGAAAGCTCCACCCGTTACACTACCGATAATGGTACCCCAATTGCTTTCCTGCATCGCTGTTAAGGTTAAGGCCGATGCCAAACCCGCAATGTTATCAATCAAAGGATACCATGGAACCGTGGATGGTTGTGTAGTAATAATAGAAGGATCTAATATATGGATAGTTTGTTGATCGCTTCTTTGACCAATGGAATTTGTCACCCTACAAATATAGGTTCCAATGTATTCGTAGGCTAATGGGCCGTTAAAATATAGCGTATCACTCGTGGACACTAAACCCGCAGGCCACTGTTCATCTAGCCTGGTCCAGGTGACTTTTATAGGTGGCGGATTAGAATTAACATTGCACTT